TTTTAAATTTGACCAATAAATAGACCTCATAAAAATATACCGACAGTTCTAAAAGCATGATTAGTGATGCAAAAAAAGACTTCACATCAATGCATTTTAGTTTAAACAATTAGAAATAAAATACGAAAAGATAACTACGCCGTTTCGGGTCCCAAGCATGGACGAAAAATGAGGACGGTTGAGGGCCGTAGCGAAGTCTCCCTAAAACTTAGCTACCTGCCCATTACAACCCTGCTGTCATCGAACATCGGCTCGATCATCGCCTGGGATACGGGGCCGCGGAGGTTGCTGAAGGACTGAGGCAGGCTGCAAGACGTCGTCGATCAGAACCTACTCATCGCCTTTTGGCAGCTAGGGGCGTAGGAGCATAATAATCGCTAATGAAGATAGACGAAGCGACGACGAAGATACCAATTAGCAACTACGTTCCTACCCGTTTAGACCAGAGGAAGCAGACACCGTGATCCCATCATAACAAGTCAGAAAGGGCTCCAGAAAAACGACTCCACCACTGGCAGCTTACAAACTGGAATATATCCTCACTCAGAGAGAAAGAATAGGAGCTAGTTGCTAAGACCGCAAAGGTACCACCTCGATATAGTTGAACTTTCTTATACGAAATGCTAAAGCTCTGGAATCCCTCAACCTCTGCGGGTGGAATCTATTCTGCTCAGGTGTCGCGCGCACAGGCCGGCGCTGGCGTTTTACTAGAACCTAACCTGGCTGACAGAATCATTGAATGGAAGCCTGTCAGGCAAGACTGGCAATCCTTCGACTGAAGCCACAAAAGGCTAAAACGCTGACCCTCTTACAGGTCTACACGCTTAATTTAGATCGGGAATGAGTCCTTCCATAAAGAAGTGTAGTGTGCTCTGTACGAAGTGCCGATTGCTGAGCCGCTCATTCTATATGGCGATTTTAATGCGCATGTCGGAAAAAATACTCAGAAGTGGAAAGGCGTGATGGAAAGAACAGCCCTAGCGACTTCAACAGTAAAGGTTTGAAATTACTATTGTTTTCTGCAAGCAACGGACTGTCCTGTATCGGTATACCTGGTACAGGCAAGCTTGTGCAGAGAAGTCGATAATCGATTTGATAATCGTATCGTCTCACTTACGACGGTATGTAATGGATGTTCGCGTTAAAAGAGACGCAGAGCTGCCAACCGATCACCACCTTGTTGTACAAACGCTACGCTATAAGATACAGTGCACCTTTAGAAGATGTGGTGGCAGAAACAACCAGAGAATCAAATGAGAAACATTATCTTCCGCGGAACGAGGGCGAATCTTGCAAACAAGGACGCACGGCGGTTTGAACAGATCCCGGAGATGACAGTTAATGTTGAAATAGAATTGGAGCTTTAAGAGCGGCGCACTCGAAGCTGCCGTCGAATGTTGCCGATTCAAACAGGTTGGCCTGTCGCCCGGAGATCAGAAAAGAATTTCGTCCTGGAAACGAGAGCTACAACTGGAAGTTAAAGACAAGAAGGCTGCAATGAAACGGGTGGAGAAGGTCAAGTGCCTCAGAGTATTCAGTAATGATTGAAAATTTGAGGAAGAGACCGACCGGAGGAATGGAGTAGCCAGTGGCGTTCTGACTGAACTATTTTCACCATTGTGAGTAATGCGAGACAGAGTCTGAAGACTAAGCTTTCGGTGTTCATGTCGATCTTTATCACTATGCCTAGCTACGGTCAAGAATCGTGGGCCATGAACGAAAAGCTACAATCCCGGGTACAACGGCTGAGGTGGGTATTATGAGACGAGTCGCTGGCGATTCGCGTCTCGACATGGTCCGGATTACAGGCATCCGCTAGAGCGTTGGTGGACAGCCGCTACTTGTTCAGGTTGAAGTCATAGCTGCGATAGATTGGGCACGTGTTGCGAATTCCTCCAGAAAGGAAGCCGAAGCAACTCTTTCTTGCCCAGCCGAGCGGCAGAAGCCGAGGGGAAGGCCAAGATGAACCTGGTGCGAATATACGGAAGGAGTCTGTTCCAGACTCCAGCTGTCTTCTGTCGAAGCTCAGACTCTGGCACAGGATCGGGAACGTTGGAAACTCTGTCTGACGCGTTTACCTCCACGACCTGAAAGGAGAAGCTGCGATGGAAGATGAAGAAGATATGATAAGATGACACTCGTATAACTACGCATTTCGACTGTATATGCATCTAACAGTTCTAATGTAAGACGTGATTGTTCAGTTAGAGCCAATGGAAAACGTGTCAGACATGAGATGAGCCAGTAACCATAGGTGAAAAACTTGGAGACATCAAAGCAACAATAACAGGGTTGATTGTCAAAATGGATAGCATTTTTCAGATGGACTAAAGCTAATCGCGGCCAAATGAGGCGGTCACTAAGGAAATATTAACGTTCTTCTCTTTCACTGTGGTATAACCACACCAAAACAGCACGATCTCTATGAAGCCCACAAATCAACGACTCGCTACGCACTGCTCGGCTTGTTGCATCGAAGCAACGTGTAGTGAGCTTCTTGTTCAAGGGAATTAGCAGTCAAAAGGGGCGATATTTTTTACAATTAGAATCCAGCAACTTTGGAATTCGGAGCCCTGTTTATCACTAGACCACTGC